GAGTCGAATTGAAGTCCCCACCAATAACAATATTCATATTATGATATTTTCCACATAAGTAATTCACCCTGTTACTTAATCTATCATAAAGTTGCATATTTTCTGCTTTGGTATTATATCCATATATATAGAACCCAACAAAAGAATTTCTTCATTTATTGATACAACCAATAAAACAAAATGTCCAGTAGCCAATCATTGATAAGTGTCGGCTGCATGGCACAGGTGGGTTCTAATAACCTGAAACACCCAGGGAAACGGGGCTCATGATTGTAATCTGTTTTAGGATCTGCTTGGTTAGTTTTAATGCTGTACAGTTAGAGGTCGTATAAATCTTCCAACAGCAATGTAAACTGGTGTGAGATGTATGCACGCACCAGTCGTTCATAGACTAGAACAATTTCACACAAGTCTATAGAGCTATTTGAAACACGTTAAATTGGTAAGACAATATATTTATATACTCAGTTCACGTTCATTTAGCTGTGACCAGACAGGAAAGAAGTTTTGCTGTTGCACAGCAAACATTCTTTCTCTGCAGACTGCTGATTCAGCCAAGTAGCTATTTCTCAATCCTTCTTTACAGATAACTTCTCTTGTTATTGAGTTCCAACTTGAAAAGAGGAAGATAACATCCAGAACAGAAGCCCAGCTTTAATTCATTCTGCCCGCCCCTTCAAACACGCCCACGCACTGAAAGAGTTTAGCCTCCGCTAGCTTTTTCCACATCTTGAAAACAAGATTAAAATGTTATCGTTTGTACCACCTGCACAGAGCTGCTCCGACTCCCGCCACAGATAAACCATCAGGCTTAATCATGAGCTCGAGCAACACACACTAGATCAGGCACAAAGATTGGCTAAAACAGCACCGAGAGATGCTTGTTACCACAAATTCTTTTCTTTGGTGGGTTGTTTTTCTTTTTTTTCTTTTAATAGAGGCTCTGTATGAAGCTATACAAGGAGATAAGCAATTGTCTGAAAAACTCCATTAAGCCATTGTTGGGTGAAAGAAGCGGAAAGGGTGACATCTAGTGTCCAAAAAAGTATGGTGCAAGCACAGCTGTCTTTTTTAAATACATCTCACACTTGTGAATTCAACAAGTAAATTTGTGTGTCTTTTTTGTCACAGAAAGCTGACATTTTAACAGGGTATATAGACTTTTGGGTGCCACTGCATCAGTTTCCCTTCTTGAAATTATTAATGCAATAAACTAACTTTTGAATACCAGTCTAATTAACTGAAATGCACCTGCAAATCTGACTTAAAAACATATTTAGCATAGATACAACAATGTGTCAAGCTCAGAAGTTCAAATATCTCTAATACTTTTGACTGACATAGCAAGCAGGCTGATCCATGCAAGTCAGATGTTGATTTGATGAAAAATATCGTTAATATTGTGAGACCTGGTGCCAGGAACTCTTGTTACACGAGGACAGGAGTCGGACTCCTGACTACCGCGGGCTAAAGTCTCTGTATGAGGGGCGCCGTGCTAACCACCGCGCCACGCAACGCCCCTATTGCGGTAGCCTATGCTGTAATTTACAAATTGTCTTTGTTAAATTATTCACATTTTTATACAATTTGAGCTTTCTGACAAACTCACCTAGTCCACCTTCTTTCATTTCCTTGGAAAAATCTGTTTTGTCATGTGATTGTGACTAGTCGACTAGCCCAGAAAAAAGTCATTGCAGAAAAAAGAATTGACTAGTCGACTAATTGATGCAACCCCTATTTCAGATTGTGGCAGGAAGCCGGAGTGCCCGGAGAGAAACCTGCAAACAGGAAACCTGTCAAATCTTTTTACCTTTTGCCCCATAAATTTAAATCAGACACATGTTTGGTCCCAGTCATATTTCTCCAGCCTCAAAATGGTTACTAGGTCATCTAGGATTCTTTTCTTCTTCCGATGTTAATATTTTTAGCTCCTCTCCAAAGGGCCCTTTGCCATCTTCCAGAGGAGGGGCTGGAGAAATTAACCTCTGGTGTTTGATCAGTTCTTTTCATAAATGTAAATGAAACCGTTGTTGGACATGTCTTCACTGCAGTCACTGTCTGCAGTGAAGACATGCTCGTTGTGTGCCTTTACGGTTCGTTCCCCCTTCATTAAGTAACAGTAGATGTCTGTCAGCTTTGGATCCCCACAGATGACAGAGGACAGGTGGAACGTCTCCGTCCCACATTCTGCAGGCACCTCTATGGTCTGAGTGGCTTTTGTTTGGTACTTCCTGGTAAACCTGTGCAGAAAAACACTAGCACCTTATCGTCCAGGCAATGTTTTTTCTGCCAGGGTGACTCGCAGCCTGAACAACGGCGTTTGCATGCCAAATCCAACCAGTACTCAAGCAGTATAGATATACTGGTTGAAAATAATATCGGTGGAAGGGCAATCAGGGTGCCGTTGTTCAGGAGCCTGAGGGAAGTGGCTCCACAGTTAGAGCAGGAGTCGTTGCCGTACAACTGTCTCTCTATGTCGCCGCAAAACGAATCCAGCCAGACCAGAACAGACTCCAGCAAACTTTTTATGTCGTAGTCCTTTCCCACGCCTGATGACAGCTTCCTCTCCCTCAGCTCCATCAGAACTGGGGAAAGGTCTTCCTGACTAAAATGTTTGCCGGGCTGATGGACAGCTGAGAGTAAGAGACTCCCACAGCAGGGGATGGACGATGCCTCCAGAAAAATCCTTTCCTGAGCGAGACACCGCTTGGTGACGCTCAGGTTTAGGATGCTCTGGAATGCAGCTTTACCCAGCTGTTCTGGGGCTCATTGGAGAACTTGAAAAAGTTCTCCTCAGCTTGTCCTTGTCCTGCAGATGTCCTCCCTACAACTGGCAGATCTGAGCCAACGCCATCTACTGAATTAACGTTAGGGGAACAGGAAACCTCAACACCAACGGAAATCTTTAAATTTAGAGGTGTTTTTCTGGGCAAACGAGCAGCTCTGTTGTTATCTGAAATACAAAGTTCCCTATCCGGGGAACTTTGTATTTCAAAAGTCCCTGTGAAAGTCCCCTTCAGAGGACTCTTCTGTAAGGATGGGACCAGCGAAACCAAAGCTTTGGCTGTCACTTCACCCAGAGCTTTGGCTGCGAGATCAGCCGCAGACAAATCTTCCCCAGCCGGGTCAGATTTTTCTGCGACTGTAGCCTCACCCTCACAGTGTACCATCGTCTCTGGACAAACCTCCCCAGCCGGGTCAGTTTGTCCAGAGACAGTACAGTCATCCTCTGTACTGTCTCGTACAGAGGACGAGATGGAGTCCGCGGTCCCAACATCCAACGCCTTTTCAGGACAAACCTCCCCAGCCGGGTCGGTGTGTGTGAGCTCACTTGACTTGTGGCACAAGTTCGTGCTTCTGATTGTTGCTGTGGAAATGATCAGCTTAGCTCTGCTTGACTCAAGCTGACATAAATACTTAAATAAAACATTATACTTTTTATTTATTTAACATGGAGAGATTAATAGATTTTAATTTTTGCTTTTGTGGTTTTCCATACCTGCTGTGGTATAAATGTTCTGAAGCCTTTTATCCACTATTATTTTTAATTACAATTAATTCATTAGGATTATTCATGTATTAATCATTGCACAGTGCTAGGAACAGTCTGTGACCTATTATATTTATTTTTATTAATTTTCGCAGACAATTTAATGCTGACTATTTTACCAAACATAAGAAACAAAAGCAGAAGAGCGACCCAGGCATGCACTAATACATAATTTTATTGAGGTCCAGAACCCAGAAGTTCTTGTCTTGTGTCATTCAGGAGCCTTGGGGATAAAAGGGCTTCATGATTGTATTTCAAAGGCAGATTTCAAGAGCAACTCGGGCAAGAGTTTGGGTCAGGCGCTATTCCGGGATGTAGATGTGTGAAGGAATCTCCACGATGACAGTATCACAGAGTAAGGATGCCTTATTAGGTGTGCGTGTGTGCGTGCATGTGCAAGTAAAATGCTAGCTACATATATACATATATATATATATATATATATATATATATGAAAAAACTGAACAGAAATGTTCAGTAAAAGGTATCCGAGCCTCTGTCTTTATCAAAGAATATATATATATATATATATATATATATATATATATATATATAATTGTACATGTAATACACACTCACACACACATCTTTCATGTAAATTAGTTAAGAGACAATTGTTCTATGTTTATAATTTAATAAGATAAGAATAAAAATATTAAAAATATTACAATGTGAGACATATATCAAGACAATTTTACGTCATATAACAATGCTGGAATTTCAATTTAGGATTAAAACAAAGTTGAGCTAATACAATTATCAGTCCATAGTGATCGTTCAGAATAACTTGTGTAAGAAACTGTGCTCTAGCTCATGAGTGCTGCGGTCATTAATACTATGAGAACCAATATTAAGATGTTTTTAGGCCAACTCATTTTTCCTGACAGGAAAAAATTAAGGTAGAATCTTTTCTTTTTTCACTTTGATAAAAACAGGCCCCTTAGCAGTATGTTGAAATGGATCTTCTTTTCCTTTCTAGTCACACTTTAATGTTTGAAATTAAACAAATTTAATACCAGACAACCATAACCAGAGAAAACACAAAAAGCAGTTTTCAAATTATAGTCTTTATGCATAAAGAGAACAAAGTCAAAGGTTGTGTCATTGGGCATGTGTGCTGCAGTATTTCAACCGCATTTAGGTCTGAACTTTGACCTAAAGTTCCTGACAGCAAAGTTCAGACCTTGGGGTGGTGACTATACCACCCCAAAACCTTTGTGATGCCATTTTGAGCCTTAGGATTTGGACATATTAGCACACCTCGGATCATTGTCCTGCTGTACAAATGTGCTTGAACTGAAGGTCATAAACTGATGGCTGGACATTTTCTAATGGATGTAAAAGGATGCAGAACATTTACAGAATCTTATAACAAAATTCAAAGTAATGAGTTCAAAATGATGTTGGCTGATGTTAATTTTGGGCTTGAAACTTTCCCATGGATGACTGCTGCCCAGCTTCTCTTTGTACGAACGGTGCAACGTCATACACAAGGTATGGTGTTGTTTTTCCTTTTTAGTGTTTAATCATGAACAATGCTCTTCACCAAAGTAAGGCTGCCAGTGCTTTTAGATGTTGCTCTGGGGTCTTTTGTATTCTATTGGTAGACCGGCTACACCTGGGAAAGTTCGCTACTATTCCACATTTTCCCACTTTGTGTGGATCAAGACTGAATTTTGTTTCTCTGGACTCCCAAAACTCTAGAAATGACTTTGTAACCCTTTCCAGGCTGTCGAGTACCATTTCTCATCTGCCAAGTTTGTGCAGACAAGGGAATAATGTGTTGCTTTTTGAAATCCAATCAATTATTTCATGTTATCAGACAAGTTCTATTTAATTGATTATCTTGATTGTTGACATCCATCACTTATCAAAAATATAGGCAATTTCTCAGTCAGCAATAAGTTGTGACTATTCAATCAAATCAATCTGGCATAAGGTTGCTTTCGATTGGTTTTAGTCTGATATTAAAGTTGATTTGAAACATGAAACTGCTGCCATCATAGCAAAAATCTTTAAGGGGGCAAACACTTTTTCATGGCACTGTACATTTATAAATAACTTGCGGTCCACATAAGAAATAACTAAACATTTAATTTCTGTAATGACTATTAGCTGGTTCGTCTAACAATATGAAACACACACACCACACACAGTGTTTGTCATCCTACAGTGAGCCCAGCACACCTGTAGAGGTTAGCAGGTGAGCTTCATAGGAGTGCACAGAACTAATCAAATCTAGAGGGGTAGTCTCGTGACGCAGACCACCAACTGTGCTGCACTGCAAAGTGAGCCCTGACCGTCTCGAGCTAAAACACAAAACACTCATGAATTTTCCTTCTCCTCCAGACCTCTGAGGTCAAACGTCCAGATGGATCCTCTGGTGGCGTTTCAGGTTGCATTTCTGGGTGAAGCGTTTGCCGCATGCCAAGCAGCAGTAAGGTCTCTCGCCCGTGTGGACACGACGGTGGGCTTTGAGGTTGCTGAGCTTAGTGAAGCTGCGGCCGCAGAGCGGGCAGCAAAAAGGCCGTTCGCCTGTGTGAATCTGCATGTGGGCTTTCAGGTTGCTGGGGTGGGGAAAGCTCTTGTCACACTCCTCGCAGCGCAGGAAGGGCCTGTACAGCGGAGAATCAGAAAGGGAGACGGGGTTGCGGGCCGACTGATGGCAGTTTGCAGGGTGATTGTGGGATTTGATGCCGACCCACGAGGCGTTGGCGCGGTGCAGAGCTACGGTCTGTTTGTCACCCAGGTGAACACGATGCAGTGGCTGCAAAGACAAAGCAGCTTTGGATGTGGAGGAAACCCTGTTGGGGTTATTTGAAGGTGCAACCTGAGAGTGAGGGTCAGAGAGCGCTGCTGTTGTCAGGTTGGACAGTCTGTGTGGAGGCCTCTTCGGTGGTCGGTGGAGGTGTTGTATGGCTGCCTGTAGCCTCAGTCCTGAACCCCTGTGAGACTGGAGCTTCACTCCCTCCTGTGCTGAGGATCTGTGGTAAAAGTGGTTTGGTCTGTTTGCCGAGTTCACACTTTGTTCCTGTAACGAACCGGTGAATGATTGTGCCCCAGCTTTCTTTTCTGTACTCACCCTTTCTGTGAACCCATCAGAATCGATAAGGACTTCTTCTTTAACGATCACGCTGGGCGTGTTGTTGGCTCGCAGTCTGGCTTTGGGAGATTCAGAACGGGAAACCTGATCTCTGACTAAGGTAAACTGAACATCTGCTCTGGCAGAGCCAGGAAGCTCATGCTCCAGATAATTCACAGAACCTTTAGGTGGGCCTGGAAACTCGGGTTCTGTGCCAAGCTTGTGATTCTGCTGGAGCTCAGCTGCTGTGGCCGGCAAGTCAGCCCACTTGGAATTAAGTTCAAAAGCTAACACATTGGTCTGGTCCGCCACCACTTCTGTTTCGTCCTGGGTCTCGGGATACGCACAATCAGTGGACATCTGTGGGTCTCGCTTGATGAGATTTCTCTGCAGCTCTTCACCGTTTGCTTGGGCTGGTGTCGGCTGTGCCTCTAGCAAGTCACCTGCATTCTCTGGTCCAGCTTCACCTGGAAGAATTTAAGGAGATTTACAATAAACTGAACAACTGAACAAATACCAATAAAGTATTTTATTTGGTTATTACGTGACAAATCAACATAAATTAGGGCATAATACTGGGGTGGATGGATAATGATATCTGAATATTTTTCAAAAATTATTGCAAAAATAAATCTGGAAAAAGTGTAGTGTCCTTGCTCAGGTAGGAGAATTTGTCAACATGACAACTATGAGCCATGTACTCCAAAAATCTTTTTGTTATGGTTCATCTCTACAGTGGTGACAGCATTATACTGTGGAGATGCTTTTCTTGACCAGAATTAGAGAAGGTAGCCACAGTTCACCTGTAAACTACTATTTAAAAAAAAAAAAAAAAAAAAAAGAACTGTTCATTTTTTGAATTGGATACTTACGATCAGAAGTACTGCTCCACTCTCTCAAATGCAGAGAACAGGAAGACGGTTTCTTTAGTTCTTCCTCTTTCATTTCAGTAGTTGCCATGATTTCCTTTTCGCCTGTGATCTGAACAAGGAATATTATGTGTGATGAAAACCAAGACACCGTATGAAATCATCTTAGTTAACGTTTTACGATCTGTACATTCTTCTCAAGTTCATTCCGAATGAAACAAGCTTTGTAAATAACATTTCCGAGCCTTTTTGGGTGCCAAGCAAGTTCAACGTTCCACTATAGAAGTAAAAACCAACCAAAAAACAAATGTGCTGTGCTGCCTGTATATCAACATGACAGTTTTAGAGGCTATTCTGCTCCAACACAGCCGTACCAATATTGGCCAACACCGATATGGGGGCCAAGATATTTTATATTATTCGCATAAGACCTGTGCTGCTGCAGAAAGCAAGGCTGGATTAAAATACCCGACTAATCAACTACTCATTTAACATTTTGATTAATTTATTGACTGCCAAATAAATATTAGCTGTAGCTTTAGAATGTGATGAACAGTGTACATCTGATCCTTAATTTGTCTCTGTTGGGAGCAAGTTGAAAATCAAATTGGTTGCTTTTCAGCAGCACTGCCTTACTGTCCTCTATTCAAGCCAGTGTTTTCTTTGGTATCCACTGAGATGATTTTAAGCCATAGAACGTGTATGAGTGAGTATTTTAGAAGTTCTATAGATGCTCTTTTTTTTTTTTTTTTTTTTTTAAAGGCTTCATATTAAAAAAGAAAACAAAAGCTGCCAACCACCAGTCAGCCGAGTGACATCTCTACTTCGACAGTCATGTGACTCACCTTTGACTCTCTTCCAGGGCTCTGGATCGGTTCTGGATTGTCTGCCGACCCGGTCTTGGATTCTTCGCTGCTATTTGACAACCAATGTTCAACTGCAGCATCTGGATTCTTCACCTCGCAGTCACTCATTGTGTCTGCAATAAAAGGGAAATGTAAGGCAACACAGAGTAACCCATAACCTTCTTTGAAACTCTTGCTGTACGTTCTTACCATGCTCCTCTGTTTTGGCTTTTACCACGACCGGACTCTGATCTGCTTCACTGCTCTCCGACTGAACAGACCCGTCGGTCCTTTCTGCATCCCCGCCGTGTTTGCTCCTGGTCCACTGCAGCTGCAGCCTCAGAGAGTCCACCTCCAGTTTGCTGCGCCTCACCTCCATCATGAAGACGTCCTCCACCAGCCTGGTCACCTCAAACATCGCTGTCTTCACTACAGCCTCCATCACGTCGGAGAGCTGGGTCTGAAAGGTCACGATGAGGGTGTCCAGGTCCGACATGATCCACTGTGTCCCGACACCCTGCGAGTCTGTCCTTTAGTGTCCACTTTCAAAACTGTTTGGGGGGAAATCTTTAAGAGTGCTTTTGGTTTGGATCAGCCAAGCATCTATTTGTCGGTATCAGATTCCCTGGTTAGCAGGTGATGGCGTGGCGTGATTCAACGCTAAATATTATTACTGATTACTGCTGACATCAGATATTCACCTCGTGATATTAGCCTCGTGATATTAGCATGACGCTAGCGTCCCGTACGCTAAATCTCGTTAGTAAAATAAGCGAGAAGCAACAAACCATGGAGCGCATGCGCCACAACGCAAACGACCCGAACGTTCCGCCGTGGATTTTTAAATGGGATAATCTCTAATTAGGAACAGATGCTGCGATGAAGAAGGCAATCAACACCCACTTTGTGAACCTTGTTTTTGCTAATGACATCACAGCTGACGCAGTACGGTGGCCTGCGGTTAGAAAATGATTGCGAAACGTTTTCGGAAATCTCTAGACGCAATAATGTTTTTTTTTAATTATTATTTATTTAATTTAAAATACGCTTCACGAGCTTACACAAAAATTATGGTCTAGTTTATTTGTAGATCACCGTGGAGTTTTTGCTAAATAGGGTGTCTAATGCCAAAAGCATGCATACGTCTTAAACATCTTTTCAAATTTTGATAAATAAAATAAAAACTAAAAACGAGTGAAAATAAATAAAAATATAAATAGTACTAATACATAGAATAAAAAATTTTAAAAAAAGTCTAATTGCATAATGGATGAAGCTGTATTTTCTGAATTTGAAGCTGCTAAATCTTTTGCCAGAGGTCAGCAAGCAGAACAATGGTGAGGGCTGAAGGGGTCTTTTGTGAGGCAGTGACTGTGAGCTGTGTCAAAGATGGAAACCAGACCTGATTATTCTCTCATCTGTCCTCACCACTCTCTCCACATAATGCCAATCTGAGGCATTACACATCCCAAACCAGACAGAGATGCTGTTGTTCTCTCTAGTACCTCGGTAGAAAGTGGTGAGAATGGGAAAGGAGAGCAAGTGCAGACGTTGCTGTGCTCTTATCACACGTGTGACTGAATTGACTGTTGATTTTTTTTTTTTTTTTCTGAAATCGACAATTTCCTTTATGTTGACATTCAGGATTATATTGTTTGCATCACACTAGACTAGTCCATCAGGTGTCTCACCTCCTCTCAGCAAGCCAGTTCATTGTTGTCCTTGCATATCAGTCATGGTTCACCAAGATGAAGAGCAGTGGGCTCAGTACATAGAAGGAGCCAGTGCTGAGAGAGATGACCCGTGAGGTATTTTTTGCAAAACCCCCACAGGCTGGGGTCTGTCTGTGAGAGAATCAGACAGAGGGGGTGTTGAGTCCAAGGGGAGCTAGACTATATCCTAGACAGTGCATTGGGATGTGTGTAACGCTGACACACATCCCGCAGTCCAGACCCTCACCTACTTCTACATCGGGTTTCCTCTAGTAAACAGGGGCTAACTTGCAGGAATTAACATTACAGAATGATGGTCTGATGAACCGAGGCGAGGGCTGTCGTGAATACTGATTTAATATTTGTGAAGGCTTTATGTAGTGTTTTGTTGGTTTATATAAAATCATATTTGTGTAGCAGAATGGCCCGCTCATACCTCAAATGACTTGCAGCAAGCAGTAAGTCCACCAAAATATATTTCTGGAAGAATCAGGGAGGCTGAATTCAAATGCAATCTACAGTTTAGCATTTGGAAAATGTCTTGAAAACCAGGTGTTTGTCCTTTCTCCTTCACAATAATGTGCCACTTTGTTTTGGTATATTCTATACACAATAGAAGTTTGTGATTGTAATGCGACAAAATGTAAAAATGTTCACTGTAAATGCAACGTAATTTGTGCAGAGCATCGTCTGACGGAATCAAGTAAAATCACAATAATAGCATCAAAATGAAAAAGAATTCCACAAATAAAATATGTTGATCAGCATTTCAGAGTCTATTTCCTTCTTTAAGAAAATGAACTTACTATAAAGACAAATGAAAAACAAGTTGTCGAATACAAAACAACTAATCTTAAATGCGCCAATAAATCTGTAATATATCAATTAGACAAAATATATAAACATAATCAGATCTACTCATGCCTCAGTGATACTTCATGTTCCATGATAGTGATTGATGATCTTCTCAATTTGAAATGCCTTGTTGCTGAAATGTGCTATAGAAATAAAATGTGACTGATTGATTGACTTTACAATCCACTTAAAAAAGGTTGTTTATTCTGAATCCAAAAATAAGAAGCTTAATTTATAAATACCTGATTAAAGCAGTTTTGATTGCTACGGTTACCTAAAGAAAAAAACCAAATCATTTTGATGTATACGTCAAAAACCTCAGTTTCAGGATACACAACACACCTAGCTGATCAAACAAGTTGAATTACGAAAACATGTGCCACAAGCTTCTCTTGAACTGGCAAGAAAAGCATTCAGTTCAGCTCAAAAATACTTTAATAATCCCAGAAGGAAATTAAATAAAATGCCATGATTGGCTGCCATCTAGCAGGCTGATTATGACCAAGCAATGACATCCAAAGCCAGTTTTATTTTATTTTTTTATGCAGTTGAGAATTCACATTGAGTACATTCTAATCAAATACAGTGAATTAAATATACAAAGTGTGCAGGTGTTAAGTTGAAGACATCAATTTAAATGTGAAAAATATTACATCTCGTCATTTATTTTCATAATAAAATGTATTTAAATAATTGCATTAAATAAATGCAACCGACAACTGAAGAGTTTGAAACTTAGCAGTGCAAACGTTCATTCGTAGATTACCAGATTGAAAGACGGAGAGCACCATTAAACCCAAACTCGCTCGCTTTAGTCCTACAGGTCTGTCACGTGTTTGCGTTGATGTGACTTGAGGTGGTCCAGGCGTTTGAAGCTGTGGCCGCAAATGGCGCAGCAGTATGGTCTTTCCCCCGTGTGGGTGCGCTGGTGCACTTTCAGGATGTCTGCCCTAGTGAAGCTCTTGTCACACATGCTGCACTGGTGAGGTTTTTCCTGCGTGTGAATCCTTTGGTGCAGCTTCAGGTTCCAAAGGCGGCTAAACTTGTTCCCACAAACAGCGCAGCAATAAGGTTTGTTGCCTGTTTGGCCACACTTGTGAGTTTTTAAGTTGGCAAAGGATGGGAATCCTTTTCCGCAGTGGCTGCACAGATGGAGGCCCTGCCCCAAGTGGATCCTCTGGTGGACTTTCAGATTACAGGCTTGAGTGAAGGTCTTTCCACACTGGTTGCAGATGTATGAGGATCCTTGTCCTGTGCCTTTATGGGACTGTTTGTGGGGCTTAAAAGAAACCGAATTAGGTAACGTGGTAAAACAGTGGTTGTGGGTGCTGCTCCTTGCTTCATTTTCTGAATTTTGATGATGTAATCTTTGTTGCAAGGTCTCACCATATGAAGCCGAGGATTCATATGATGCAGTGGGGAACTGAACTTCCTGCCCTCGGAAGCTCATTCTGCTGCCCAGATCACCAGATATCTGCTCGGAGTATCTGATATTTGGCTCCTGCAGATATCCTTCCTCGTCAATAAGCAAGCCGCTGAATTCCCCGCTCACATCACTGTTAGTCCTAACAGGGGAGCTCTCCTCAGTTCCTCTGTTCTGTGGAGACCCTGCTGTGTAACACTGGTGCTCAGCTCCTTCGGGATTTTTCCTGTTCTCATTAAATTGATTAACATAACTAAGGCCGTCAGGTAGATGGGTTGGAGAATCTTGTAGCCCATCATAGTTATCCATCTCTCCATATCCAGGTTTGCCAAAGCTGCCCAAGTCGTTCAAGACGTACCTGTTCTGGAAATTTGATTCAGAGAGGACCTCCGATTGTCTGTCTTGGCTCAAGTCCGGTCTCTGGTCAAAGCCAGGTTCCCAGTTCACATGGCAAGCTGGGTTATTCTGTTCACTGAAATGCTTACTTGGTCCTGGTAGACTTGTCTCTGAAATAAGATAAACAAACTGTCAAGTTGGTCACAATAACACACCTAGCATATGAATAATGCAGTCAGCTTCCAATGTGGATCATGTTAAATTTTCTAACACAAAGTTTGCAAGATGTGCTTTTTCTCTATACTTTGTAGTCTTTTCATAAATAAATAGTGTTTTCATCACCAACTTCCATAGAAACTCACCTTCTTTGCCCACACTCCACCCGTGGGATTCCTCGTCTTCTGGCTGGATGCTTTGAGGAGTTTCTTCTTTGAGTTGTCTCTCACATGTATCCTGTTGTACACTTGCACCCTGGAAGATGAGCAAGAATACAAAAGTTGCATTTAGGGTTTTGTTTTTTTTTTTGTTTTTTTTTATCAGTGGCTGGAGTCTTACAGGATACCTCTACTTGGGTTATTTGCCAAATGAGATTCAGAAATTTGCCGTTGTTTCAAAATGGTTCAAAGTGAACTCTTTTTTTACTGATATTTTTTTTTGTGTGTATTTTAATGAATAATAATTAATATTTTTTTTTTTTTTTTTTTACGAATTTGATAATGGCAGAAACAACTAAGGAAATCAGGATGTTTTTTTTTTGTTTGTTTTTTGATACCCCCAACAGCTGTCCAGGTCAAGAGAGCACTTGTGTACACACATCCATATATTCCCTGCAATTTGCAAAAACAAGACCTCTCTAAATAATAATTTCTTTATTAATAGCTCATCATTGCAAATCTAAAGCCATTTTTGAGTTTTTCTGCTGCTCTGAATCAGCCTTAAAAGAANTCATTAGACATTAGAATATCATTGAAAAGTTCATTTATATCAGTGACTCAGTTCACTAGATGAAACACATCATGTAGATTACAGACTGGAGTTTTAAGGCCTTTATTTTGCGTAATTATGATGATTTTATGCATACAGCTTGTGAAAATAAACATTTAATATTAGAATATTATATAAGTTATATTAAAGAAGAAACATGTTTAATGTTGAAATGAAGGCTTAAGAAAAAGTGTTTAATACATGCTAGAAGGTCTTTTTTTAACTTTTGATCTAATAAACGAGCAAAAAATATTATATTACTGAATATGACTAGTTAGCTCAGTTCCACTGAATCACATTATCCACTCCTACACTCTTGTTTACTATATATTCTTGAGATGATAATGTGTTTATTGGCGTATTACTCATTATTTACCTCTGTCCTTTCCAGATGGCTATAAAACAATATTTTATTTACTCAAGATTAAACAGACATAATCACTGAACGTCCATAAACTCAAAAGGGGGAAAAAAAAAAAAATCTTGGCTGTGTTCCTCTTAGTGAGGCAGTACAAAATATGGAAATGAATGCATTGGTTAAACGTCACCTTTACTGTGGTGCTCACTGAATGTGTTTGGGAAGCATATGTTGCGTGAAGACACGCGCGCACACACACACACACACACACGGCTATTAAAAGCGATAAATCTGTTATGTATTCTGACAGCGTGCCGTGTAGTTTGGGATAAAAACAGAAGAACACTCTGATCTGAGCCGTGTGAGGAGCTCCTCCTGGGAAAACCCAGGACAAAGAGCCATGATATGCTACCTCGGAGGGACCAATTGGTGACTCGCGGCGACAGGGTCCTGTGTGTTTATTGATTAATGCTTTGTCTCGTGGATCCCTATTCCTGACCTTGCGAGTGAGCAGAGGTTGGATGTCGACGCATTTAGGGGCAAGTCTCAGATTTGAATCGGGGTTTACAGTCAGTCACCTCATGAATATTTGATCTGCGTTGCAGCAATAACTCATTTTGGTTCACCTTTGTGTCCCCTTGTCGACGCCGCTGGCTTGTGTGTCTGCGTGTAATGATCCTGTGTATGTCTGTGTGTGTTACAGTGCAAGCTAGAGCAGCAGGCGTGTCTTACTGGGAAAGCTCTCACCCTGAAGTGTTCAGGTCTGTGTCCTTGCCCGACTGCGGCGCCTGCGTCCAGGGAGGGGAAACACGGTGAGATCCAAATTTGTGGCAGAATAATTAATAACCGTAGTCCACAAGTGTGGTAGCTACGCCAGTTTTACGTCGGCCTCCTCGTTTTTTAGTAGTTTGACACATGCCCTCTACGTGCAGAAAGCACGTCAAGCGTCTCCCTCCATCTGGCTTTCACAGAGAGCTGCACCGGGCAGGATCTGTCTGATCTCGGCGAGCGTCTGAAGGACTGGTTCCAGCTCCTGCAGACCAACGCCAAGCAGAACAACAACAGCAAGCAAGGGGCCAGATCCCCAGCAGCCAGCACTGCGTCAGGTTAGAGTCCTTTTCTCAATTAATCACCACAGCATTGTGAAAACATTTACATGGGGTACACGGTTTGGGTTTTCAGCAACTCAAAATCGACTGTTTAATTTAGTTTCTCAGAGAACATAAGAAAATTCTGTCAGTCAAAACGCTGCTGTGAACAGTGAGCGCCTTACCTTTGGCAGGACTGCTTTCCTATATATTCATAAAGGTTTTCCATCCAGATGGGTTTTTTTGTTTGTTTTTTTTTTGTTTTTTTTTGCTTTTCTAATCCAAACAAACAAAAAAATTGATCTGTAGTTACAGCTTCCACTGGATGTCACAGACATTTTTTTAATGCTACTAATGCTCTTCAAAATGGTTTATCGATAGAGTAATGTTATGTAACATTACATACAATTGTAATTGTAACATTACATGTGCTTCTGTAGCACAATGTATCAAAATGCATGCCAGTAGTTATTTGGCCAGATGGACTTACTTAGCTCCTCTTGACCCCAGCAGATGTTTTGTTTTCAGTAGCTGAGAAACTAAAGCTGGTAGACAACGTTGTGAAAAAAAGAACAGGAAATCGACTTGATCATAATTTCTGCTGTCATTGCAGTATTTAATAAAAGTGTTGGAATTAAATGTTTTTCTGATATGTCACGCAGCTTTATTTCAGATCGTTAACTTTTGGTCGTGAGAAGTGTAGAAGGTGGAGGATAAAAGGCGCAGGATGTCTGGATGCACCCCCTCCTCTGCAAATCCCCCACTCAGTTCCTTCAGACTAGCCAGCAGAAATTGGCAAACACTTGGTGGAACTAAGCATCTGCCGAGTTCATTATTCGAGCTACTTTTCAGTAAAAGACTGGTAAAAACGTTGCTAAAGATTGTATATAGGAGCGGTGTTGTGACGGAGTTTTTAAAGAGACTCTAGGCCCTGTTTCAAGGCATTAAATCGTGATGTTAAATTTCTCTTAAGCCATATTTGATATATATGTGTGTAGCAGTTTTGTAGCAACTGGAGCTAACACAGTTACTTGGTTATGCTATAAAATGACACGATGAGCCTGAAAAACATATAATGCAGCATCTTTAAGTCACATGAACTTCATGAGAAGTTGTCAGTAAGAGTGGCATCAGTGATTTTATCAAAAAGAGAAATAGTGCTAAATTTGGTATCATCTTCCTACAGAGTAAATGTACTCGCATTACCAATAAGTGTGATGGATTGTGTACCTCCTCAGACCATTGACCTGATTTGATGCACTACATCGAATGTATTATTTGTGCAGCTGCTTGCACAATAAGAATAAGTGAGTTTGTGTCGGCAGTGCTGGACAGGAGCCTGGTCGCCAGCTGTAAGGACTCCATAGGTTGGATGTTCTCCAAGCTCGACACCAACAACGACCTTTACCTGGATCAGGCCGAGCTGGCTGCCATCAACCTGGACAAATACGAGGTCTGCATCCGGCCATTTTTCAACTCCTGCGACTCCTACAGGGACGGGAAGGTTTCCACGGCTGAATGGTGCCTCTGCTTCTGGAGGGAGAGTGAGTATTTCTGAGGCTGATGGGAGCTTTGGCTCTCCACTGTGACTTTCTGCTGGCAGTTTGTGCTGCCTGCGTGCTATCTGTTGCTGCAGTAATATTAGGTCTTACAGTTCAGCCTTGCGTCACTTTGTCAGGTAAGATGGTTCCACCTCCCCTTGTAAAAACAATCGTCTTTTGTCTTGTTTAAGAGCCGCCCTGCCTAGCAGAACTGGAGAGGATTCAAGTTCTGGACGGCGGGAAGAAAAAGTTTGGTACGTATTAATATTCTGTAGCTGCATGCCAACACGTTTAGCTGTGGATGTCTTCGTCTGGTGGTTCTGTTAGATAAATAACTGGAGGGAGATGGGTATCAGTCCATGATCCACTCTGTGAGTTATGTAGTGCTAACACAACACACAGCCCTCTGTCTATCCTCAGTATAGTGTGTAAGCAGATGAATATGTAAGCGTGCAGATTTGTATATCAGTGTGTGAGTGTGTGTACGTACGTATTGCAGAATTTGGTTGGTTGGCTGACTGGGTTCTGAGTCAGGCCTCTCCAAGGACACAGAGTGGCAAGCAGAGAGCTGCCTGCCAGCAAGACACTCAGATGTTCCCCTGAAAGATTGGATTGAGTCTCTGTTTGGCTTTTATTTATTTTTATTTTAACTACGAAATAAATATCTAGTCTGTGGGATGCTTCATTTTTGACCCGTCTTTGCACATCTGACAACTTTAATTTTCTTTGCCTGTGCGTGGATCATACAGTCCAAAAAAAAAAAAAACTTTTCAGGCTCTTTTTGGCCTCATTTCTTGCATCCCTCGTCCCGATCTTTTTGGTTCTGGCAAGGACCGGGTCAGTTTGAAAGCTGTGAAAATAAAGCACTCCCACTAAGAAGCTTCCTTTCAGCGAGAAAATTGCTATCTAGTCTACGCAGCCTGTGGACGTTTGTTTTGCATCTTGCTGGAGACACTTTTTTTGTATGGTATGAGGAATATAACTTCCTGTTGCAAAGAAATGGCCACCGAGACTGTGGGCAGTCTTGGACAAAAAAAAAAACAAAAAAAAACACTCTTCTGGATTTCTTTTTCAATGGGGCTTGCAAGGGAAGGTCCACACTTGACTCTCACTGATTTAAGCTTGTGCGTGTGCAGGCCGATTCATCCCCAGCTGCAACGAGGACGGCTACTACAGGAAGCAGCAGTGCGACAGGGGCGAGTGCTGGTGCGTCGACCAAAACGGAGGAGAAGTCGCGGGGTCTAGGATTCGTGGCAAGCCGGATTGCGGTAAGCCTCGAAAAAGGTTTCAACAGCCGTCGGGGAGTTTGGGAAACGATGTCGGGATCTGAACGACGGGAACACAGTTATAAATATCCGGAGCATATCTGCCCGCTTCTGCCCTGCAACCTCGCAAGAATTTTAGCACAAAACCTTTTGTTTTGAAGGACCGAGCCGCGCTGGAAGACAGCTTAGATTTAGAAACCGGTGCCACTTTTTAAGTGTCCAGAGTCATTGGCATTCTAAAGCGCTGCTTGTCGCTGTGAGAAAAGTCTTTCAAGATAAATTGGGGGCGGGGAAGAAGGGCTGGTTGGACGGAACCTGCATCTGATAAGAATGGTTCCCCTGGCACAGTTTAGAAGTAGCCATTAAAACCCAGACAAAGTCAAACGCATGTCCCCCTTAGCTGTCACTGCCGTCAATATTCTGAAACAGAAAGGACAGACACACACACACACACACACACACACACACTCTCACGGTGGCTTAATTCACTTACTCTGCATGCTTCTCTTTGCAGATTCTGAAATGACATATTCAGGGGATTTTGGCAGCGCAGTTGGATGGGAAGACGAGGAGGAGAAAGAAGCTGAGGAGACTGCAGAGGAGGCTGAGGAAGAGGAGGGAGAGGTGGAAGAGGTGGATGACGGGGGGTATATCTGGTAAAAGGGTCAGCTTTTAGCCCCACCTCTATGTGGAAGCATTTAACGGTCCCAAACACACACACACACACATATATATATATACTGCTGACGATGGACGTGATTAAGGCACTCCACTCCGATTTATAATGGGTTAGAAAAACAGGAGGGAATGTCGTGATTTGGAAGGGGGTCAGATGCTAATGGGAGTATTTATTGTTTCAGGGTGTTCTTATCTTGGGAAACAGGAAATGGGAGATGTTATTCAGAAATTTTGGGCTTGGGAGTAAAAAAAAAAAAAAAAATCTTGTGAATCTTTGTTCTCTTTTGTTGTATGTCCTTTGAACTATCTACGAGCTGTTTTTAGCTGATGTGTAATGGAGATTTTAAGAAGCTGCAGGTGCTTGCATTAAAAAGCTAAATATATATATATATATATATATATATATATCCAGTTTGGGTGCATTTCAATAGTCTGGAGTGGTCTTCTTTATCTTCTATGTGTGCAGATGGAAACCGGTTAGGGTTTTAGTTTGAAATCTGCCCGTAAAGGAAACGAAACCAGGAAGAGTATTGAAAAGCGCCCTCTGGCCTTATTGTTTTCACCTCATACGCTTTGGCTCGTATGTGACAGTAGTGCTCTGTCTCATTCATGACTTATTAGGACGTTTCTCACACATCACTCCTTAGCTTGTACATAACGTGTGCATCGGAAGACAGAAAGTCACCTGCTGGTCAATGCCTTGAAAGACTGGCAGCTTTACGGCTGAGCTGACAAGTGTACGTCGTAATATAATGTGCATCGGTTATTGTGTTTAATTAAAAAACAAAACAAAAAAACAAAAAACCATCAAATAAAATAAATCTTATCTATGTGGCTCATCTGGTCACCGTGCTTCTGAGTCTGAGAAGTCTTTCTTTTTTGTTGCTACCCTCCATTTTAGTGCATAAAGTGACCAGCAATGGAAACATTGTCCATATAATCAAGTATTGGTAAGTTGTCTGTAGTGATGCGCTTCTTTCTTCTTTTCATTTGTTCAATGTTAAATTTAAGTCGGGAGCAGCTGTGTTAACAGTTTGTTCAAAGTCATAGTTGATAGTTGATATTTCTATTATATAATTCACCGTGAGAAGAGAAATTAAAGTATTTAAGGCATTTTATATTCGGGGCACAAATCTGGTTCATACGTTTGAGTTGAGGAGTGGTTCTAAACTCGGGCCGCATTAGATGACCGAATACATACGTAGATCTCTGACGGCAGTGATGGAGGGAGGAATAAATCTGAAGCTTGTTAATAAAAAAAAAAAAACTGCAGCAAAGAGTGGCATCTTAAGGTCACCAGGTTTCCATAACAACCATTCATTTCACACTGATCATTCTCAACATCTGATCACATCAGTATAAACAGCCATCAAGCAAAAGAAAATGGGCTAAACAAGATTTAAATAGGTACAAACGAGATAGTTGCAGAATACGTTTAGTTCAGAGGAGGAGATAAGATGCGATTTTAACGATAAAATTACAGTATCCTCCTCCTGAAGTATAATAATATCAAAGCAAACAGCTCATTTAAAGCATTTACTCTCAGGCAGCTTCATTATGCCTAGTTTGTAATAGCACAACGCATAAAACATCTGATAACCATAGCAAGAAGCCTAAGTAACGTGAGACTCAGGTTACATTTTACAATTGAAAGTGAAATTAGATTTTTTTTTTTTTTTTGACCCGTTTGTTTGCTTTAAACAACTAAATGTACCGAATTCTGCTGCTTTTACAAGTGGTATTATTCTGGTTCAGTTCAGGAATATTTCAGAGGAGCACTTTTTTTTTTTCAGCAACGTTGCTCAGATAAGATTATTCTAGTGACATGAAAATCGAGAATATCTCCCACAATATGTCACGTACTGCCCCCTCTTGAAGCTCAATTTGAAAAATCACCAGCGCAAATCTCTAAATCTCCTCTTTGTGTGACCTGTTCGCTGTGAAGCGGATTGTGTTGACACAATGTGGTTGCCGGCTTACGTTCCTTATGCCTTCCCTCGATGTGTGAAACGTGGCTTGTAAGGGAAACCGGTAGAAATTGGATATAGACCTCACGGTCTGCATGTGAGCAGCTCTTAAAGCACAATACCTACAGAAAAATGCGTTTCCTCAGGACACTGCTCTTAAGCCTCTCCTCTGTTAACGATTTACTCTGGGAACAGTGAAACAGAAACCCCTTCGGTATGCTACGCTCCTTGTCTTCGAGAGTTCACGCCAGGAACGTCTGCCGTTGCATTGTGAAAACTGACAGTAACCAATCTTTGGAAATGTCATCTCACAGTTTCGTATTTCTGTGATAATGGAAATCAGCACCGGTAACGTCCCATCGGGCGAAACCTCCGATGTGAGTGAATGTTCCTGCCAACAGATGTCTGAATACCTGATATATACACACAGCAGCCGTCTCGAGCTACCCAGAGGGACCAATCATTTTCTGCAACCTGCCAGCTTGTTATGCTGAATCTTCCTCCTGCTTGTAAAAAAAAAAAAAAAAAAAAAAAAAAAAAAAAAAAAAAAAAAGATAAAAAATAAACCTCATGCACCAGAAGCAGATTTAAATCCTCACAAATGCTTCCAGAAATAGTACCCTTGATGCTGTAACTGTAGAAAAAGAGGGGATCAAATGCAGCTTCATCTAACATATAGGCACCTATTTTACGGCCGCATGGTTCAAAGGTATGCGGAATTAAAATGATGTCAGGATTTCTTTTCCTTGGATGATTCAATATATTCAGATTAAAGGTTTATTTCTAGATGTTCTCTTATGACATTAGGCTACTGCAATAAAAGAAACATTTCATTTAGGGCTTTTCACACTTCTTTATCAGGGATGTCAATAAATGTGGCATCCTTGATACAGGTGTACAAAACTGTGTAATACAGCTGTTATAATAGGGATCATTTAGAAAGTGCATGCAACCGTAAACTCGGTAAAAATACAGGAAGGTTTATTGTAGTCAAATTGAATAAAAGAATACATCGGTATTACAATATATTAACATCATCTTTCTAATATTCTAATGATTCTGCGACGAGTTAGTGGAAACAATGCCCTTATATGTATATTAATGTCTGTTTAAAAGAATTTAAGGGGAACACATAACCTCTCAAAGTTTATGAATCGCAGGTCACAGTTTGCTTTGTGCACCTTGCAGCCTCCACACCCGTCTCACATCCCGCTCTGTAGCGTTCAGCACACTGAACACGTCGACATTTCTTGTCTTTTGAAACTCCTGCAGCGACCTCTGGAAAACAGGCGCCGGGATGATGAAGTTGAGGTGCGGATATGTTACGCTCGCAGCCAGGTCTCGCGCATTGCTCGAAACGATCCCTGCGACAGAGCAGATAAGACAAGCCGTCCTTAAGTCTGCAGCCACAGCAGAGCAGCGATCTGATGAGAGCGGCACAGCTGGGTTCTTTTGTCTGCACGTGCGCCACAGACAGGTTTTCTCGTGGTGGTCGCACGCCCCCTACTGTTCGAGAAGAGGTTTTTTTTTTTTTTTTTTTTTGTTTTTGAAGGTACAGGGCTTCTCACCAAGCAGCTCTCCCGACTGTTTCTGCACCACAGCGCCCCCGCTGGCTCCCGCCTGTACTGCGCATGTGGTCTGGAGCATGACAGGCTGGCCATTCAAGCTGATGGCCTTGGAGAGGACACCAGATGTCAGGGATGGACCGCAGACTCGGCCCAGCCCGCCGTATCCCACTACAACCACAGCTTCACCTGAAACCATAAATAAATAAATATATATATATATATATATATATATATATATATATATATAACTGAGCTGAGTGTTAAATCTCACAGCACTCTTGTTAAGGTAAATTAGCGCTTCTCTCTTTCAATTTTAAAGTTGACATCATACCTAGGTGAAAACTTTTTGACATTCTGGGGATCACAGCTTCTGGAACGGGGTCTCTAAGCTCAATTAAAGCCAAATCGTATGGTGAAGATGATTTAGTGGAGAACAAAACATCGGCCACAACATCTCGGACTCTGAAAAAGGAAATCACAAAACATTTAAAAAAATAAAAATAAAATATCAAGCTCACAAATTATGTTTTATTTTAATAGATCACTACAGTTCATTAGATTATATTCTCTTTGGTGTTACTAGACAATAAAACAATTTACTGAAGACAAATAATCCATTAAGGTCTATTTTTTTTATGTTTTTACTGATTTCCCACTTTGACTTTGTGACAGTAATTTATTTGTAGTTCTAAATCTTTTCTTTCTTCCTGTCACTTTATTCTATTCTCTCTCTTTTCCCAATACTTTCTGCATTTGTTTTATTGTTTCACACCATCCCGATTCTGGTGTTTGTGTATCATGCAGTGTCGCGCAAAAGTATTTACACTTGTTGAACTGTTTTGCAACAATTACCAGACATTGAAGTGTAAACAATGAATCACCTGCCATCTTGATGAAACTTCAGGGTGACTGAAGACTTCCCACTGACTACATGCCGGCAAGTTACCACCAGCCCTGCGCTGACAGCAACTCCTGAGCCCCAGGCCTGTCCACTGTCCACAAAGCACACAGTGGGGTGTCTAACAGCTTCTGGCCCCTGAGCTGTACTGGACATGCAGAGATCTGCCTCTTCTTTTTGTTCCCAAACCCCACGAAGCGGATCTCGGACCCCTGTGCAACGGATGACGCTCCTGAAGATCACTTCAACAGAGCAGACCAAAGTGAGGCCTATCCACTCATTTGACTTCCAGCCAAATGGAGACACAATCACACCGATGAGGCGGACACTGTCTGTGGGCTCCACCACAAACAAGCCTCCACCCTCTGTGCCGGGTAGGCAGCGAGCGTCTGTGAGGATGACAGCATTGTCTTCTCCAGCCAGGTTGCTGACAATCCCTCGGCTGAGGGTGCCGATGAAGAGGTCTAAGCAGAGGGAGCCAAACGGAGAGCCGCATGCAACAACCGGGCAGCCTTTCTGCAGAGACAAGCTGCTCTGCCAGGGGGTACTTTCTGTGTCTGTGTTGTTGTTCGCCACCACACCCGCCCTGAGGACTGCAAACCAGCTAAGGGACTGGGCATCTCTGATCAGCTCAGCATCCTCATCATCACCATGGAAACGCCACTGGTCTGTCTCCTGGAAAACTCCCAGGAAGGTCTGTTTGAACTTCACGCAGTTCACCAGCATCAGCAGCTCGCCTGAAACCTCCCGCTGACGGGATGGCTTGCTCCTTCTGGAACCTGACAAGCAGACGCGGATTTTTAGTTTGTCGCTGAAGCTGCGGGGAAACAGGACCTCGGCGTCTGAGGAGAGGAGCTCTCTGTCGGTAACAAACCGGCAAAACGGGAGGCCGGTGCATAAGACAGTACCAGACCGAGGGTGGACGATTACTCCGCTGCAGCTGACGGATTTCCTCCCTGGTGTCCCAGAAACTTTAATCACACAGCAGCACTTTTCCACATCTTTCAGCTCCATATTCCTGCAGCGTGGATCAACTTTACTATAGTAAATAACACGAAAAATCACTCAAAAGCAATGCACTTAAAGCTCCTACAGTCCAATGATAAGATAACAAGATAAGTTACAGAGTAAAATATGGCAGTCCATTGAAATTTAAACTACTGCTTCGTCGCAAATAACTTCAATAATTATATAACTTCCTGTTTGTTTCTCAATGTCCAACACGATTGGTGAGACTCTGAAATTATCCAGCCAATAGGAAACGAGAAGGAGAAGACCGGTAGTTTAAAGGAGCTGCATCCTTATAATCGCCTGTACACTGATAATAATTTGCTCCTACGTATTTATTTAATTGTGTTTCCATATACTATGGCATTTTCTATATTAGTGCAAAATCTAAAACTGTTTTTACACGCTAAATTTTTAGACAAAAACATTCATTTAAACTTTTTGAAATATAATTTCCCCACTAGTTTGACAGTTGCGCTTTCACACAGCATTTTACGGCTGCGCTTTGGCAACATGGTGCATTCAGGTGAACTGGTGCTCTAGACAAGACTATGCATGTTTAGGCAACTCCAACATGAATACTATAGTATATTAGAATCAACGTTTTATTCATAGCAAAAAAAAAAAACCTAATCGACCTTGTCTAAGTAAACATTGTTTCGACATAGTCAATCAAATGATTTTTTTTTCCTCATAGTTTTCTAACTATGAGGGGAAAAAATGCTTTGATTTTATCACCCAGAAAAATTTCTCAGCTGGCAAAAAAAATAAATATGTTTAAAAAAACAAAAACAAATGACAGTTGCTCAATAACTGAAAACATAATAATTGTCAAAAGTATTTATTGTGCTACATTCCACACTAGAATCACATTTGTGTAACAGACTTCACTTCATGTCTCAGTGCGACACTTATACTAACTACGATGTCCAACTATTTATTCCAAATATAAATAAGATACTTTACACAAAAAAAATATATGCATATTTTGCAGTGTTACCCTCTGAAATAAATGTGCATAATTTGAAGTATTCAAGTGCAAGTACTCTCATAAAATTACTGCATGTTGTTGGCAGCAACTAGTCACAAAGTACTCAAGTGTTTTTTGCAGGTGTAACTCATCATAACATATATTGCAGTCTGGCATCTTTCCTGCTATGAGTTTCTTACATTACTTAGCGATGCTGAAGCATTTGCACTGCGGTTGTATACTGAATAAAGCTTATCTGAATAAAGCTTATCTGAATAAAGCTTTATTTTTATGACTAAAAAGTCAGTTAATGAACTCAAGATGGGATTCATTTAGTATTCTGCCATCATAAACTCTTTGTAAAACAGTCAGTAGATCAATCAGCTAACATGAAATAGCTGATCGATTTTCATAGTTACAACGGACTAACTGCACAATTTAACCCAAGTGGGAGGTTCTTCAACCATGTATCAACTTAAACTGCCCTTTACAGTAAGTCAACACCAGCAGCCAAATATAAGCTCAGCTCTGACACTGGGTCACAGCATCGACATGTTTCTGGCAAACATTTTCCTACATGCTTTAAAAAAAAAGAAAAAAGAAGTGGCAGCGCAGCATGAATGTTCAATCTGAAGAGAGAATATCAGCAATTCCAATGTGCTGTATGACACATAGGTTTCTATTTGTGGAAAAAGTATAACAACAAAATAAATGTTTACATGTTTCTCTGGCTTGAGGTCAAACTGCCAGAGATGGCATATTTAATAAAACATGTGTACTGCAAGTAGTTTTCTGCAAAAATATGCTTTTGTGTGTGCAGGCATCAACAGAAGTCCAATTATTGTTTTTTCAAAGGAAGTGTAATCAATCAATATACTGAGAGAGCCAGCGAAAACCGTCTCCGTAACCTTGTCTCTTCAGGACGCTACACATGAACACCTCCATCGGCCTCAAATTCAGCTCCTTCAGTGATACTTTACCCTGAAAATAGAGAGAGAACACATTTCAATCGGAAAAGCCTTGAATTCTTGGCTCGTACAGTCCAGTTTCATCGTGCACGGACAGGTAACAAGACGTATTGCATGTCCTTCACCTTTCCAGTTGTATGTCCATGCAGACCAAACACTCCTCTGAGTGCATCCTCGCTGATGGCTTCTGGACGGTCGATCTTATTCCCCAGGACGAGAACCGGGATGTTAGCGATGGTTTCGTCCGTTAGCAGCGCCTATTCCCCAACAAGCGTCAGATGAACACATCAGCACTCGCAGTCGCAGAAACAGCCAGCTGTGTTGACTAAAACAGGTCACGTCTTTGTGATGAACTCACATCCAGCTCTGTTTTGGCCTCTGCTAGGCGTTCATGATCGGCACAATCCACCATGAAGACGATCCCGTTTATTGCTGGGAAGTAATTCTTCCAGATCCTTCGAGCTGTGAGGCCATTTCAGGATTAATGTGACATCCTGCGAATGCATCTCTTCATCTTTGATTGAAAAAAAATCTTCACTTCAGCCCCGTATTCTGTGCTCTCACCTTGCGTGTGACCGCCGAGGTCGAATGTGGTGAACGTCATTCCAGCTATGGTCAGCTCCTCGGATGCTGAGAGCAGAGAGGAGGCACAGCGATTTGAAGAGGGATGAAACCGTAAAACACAAGACGGACTGCGTAACGTCAGTTTCGCTGTACATACTTGGGTATAGTGTTGGCATGTGCTGTCCCAGCCTGTCATCTCTGAGCATCTGCAGAAGGGTCGTTTTTCCAGCATTGTCCAGTCCGAGGAAAACCAGCTTCCCGCTCTTTTTGTACAACCCTAACAAGAAAAAGAACATGTGAAACAGATTTTGTTTAAAAATGCGCAGCTCCTACTCCAAACATTACGAAGACTGGTGAGGATCAGGAGGAGCTGTTATAAAGTTTTTTGTTGTTTTTTTACATTTCTGTATGATGTATTTGCATAAAATTGTCAAAAATGCTGAAGTAAAAAACTAAAAACACACTTTTTCTAACTGAAGAAAAAAATGTTTACACACACAAACTCAACATTGCCATGAATCCCTTGATATTGGATTTTTGACTTGTTGAACTGTTTTGTTTTTGTCAAGAGTGAAATGATGATGGGGGGGGGGGGAAAAACTTTGTTTTTTTTTAAACTAAATTTTTTTTTCTTTAAATTTTGGTTGAAGTT